CCGGGACGCAGCTGGATGCCCCACCGCTCGCAGCAGCAGCCCTGCGGGGCGCCCCTCCCCTCCCCTCTGGGTGCCAGTCCGAGTTTCAGGGCGCCATTCTGACTGCTCCCTCAGTCCAGTAGCTGAGGCTGGCGGTCACTCACCCAGGCGGTGATGGGCCACAGGTCCAGGCCGTCCCTTCCCCATCCTCCAGCAGAGGTTTCCGTGTCCATCACGGGGACTCACTGTAGGTTCATGTGGGACCTCGGGCTTCACCGTGTCTGTGGTCTGGGCTTTTGGTTCTTGGTTGAGTTTGCTGGCTTGGTTGTTTTAGACGTAATAGTAAATCGTCTACTTCCTGTGTCTGTGCTTGTGTTTGGTGGTGTATTCTAGAATAAGATGTAGAATGTTATGTATTTGTATTGTAAGGAGCACCTCTGTTTATTTATAAGGTGATCAAGAGGCACCTATCATAGTCCTGAGCCTGTGAATATTTGAGTGAGTGAATCAAGACGTGAGAGGGAAAGATCGGTTAGGATGATGCTCTGAGGATCTGCAGTTAGTACGTCTACGTAAGAAAGGGAAGGTGGTCAGATAATGGTGTTAAAATAGCCTGGTGATGATCAGTCATCTGTCATAAATTATTTTATCCTGTGAATATACATATTAAGTAACCTTTTTCAAGGTCAGATTATTTTGCTTTGCAAAAGATTTATTAAAGGTTTTATTTGAACTGTAATGTGTGTTGATATTAAGACAGTGATAGAAATCGAAGATTTTCCCATTTCCAGTCTTTGTGTTTTTCACATGCAGTGTTGGTATAAGCAATGCTCAACTGATACATTTATAAAATCTAAGCTGCTGTAATAAGCATGTTTAAAATACTGATTTTAGTCAAAACAAATCTTTCCAAATGATGGGAGTGACTAAATTGTTGCTGACACTTTATTTTTTCGCTGAGAATTTAAATACTCTATTTTTACTAGATTTGTTAAATTGATGAAACAAGTAATTTGTAAAGTTTACCCAGGGCCATTTTATGGACATTGAATGAAAATAACTACTTACCTGCAATTTTAGATGTCCATAAATAGGGCAGTGTAAGAAAGACACATTGATATCGAGCACTTAAGTTACATTGTGAGTATAAGAGCATTTTAACACATAAATTGTTGAGTTAAATCTAAGTTATTAAGTCAGAGACGGCATAAATTTTGAAGCATATGATGTGATGAAGATGCTTTTGGTTTACCCGTATGACTGTCCTCACTGGAGTTCACTCACATGTATTTTCTCCTCCCTCGCCCTGGTGCGTGGGGAGAGGGTGGAGGATGGGAGCTGGGCTGTGGGAAGACGGCGGCGTCTTCGTTGCCAGCCTGGAGCTGGGGATCCGGGGTCATCATGGTGCTGTTTCTTTCATTGTGAAGAGTCTTTATTATTTGAACTAACTTATTCAATGAGGAGACATACCAATGACTCCAAATACTTAAATCTGTCCAGTTCATTACCATTTGTCTAAGAGTATTAGGCTTAAATGTTGCTGAAAAGATTCATTTGAATCAATTTTGACTTCAGTTTGGTTTAAGCCAATATTTAAAAACAGATATTTTCATTTCAGTGTAAGTCGTTATAATTCCCACTGTTTAATTTTCAGTTAACTTTGCAGAAAGGCAAAACACATTTATCTTACACATTTTAAAAAGTCTACTTATTAATGGCTTTCAAATGTTTTTTGATGAGTGTACAACACAATATCACATGTTTACATATGCCCTGGTGGACACACACCTACATGTGTATCTATTCCTATTTGTAACTGAAGGAAGAATTTCATACAACAGTCCCCCACCTTATAGCCTGTCAGTGGGGCCAGGTGTCCCGCAATCTGAAGAACTCTTTAATACACATTACCTGACCTTTGAATTACCTGGAAATATATGAACATTAGCACAGTGCTAGTAATTAGGAATGTTCCCAAATTACAGCTTCTCTTTGTTTGTGTTTTAGGCAGTTCCTTATTTCCGTAGTGTCAGGCTAAGTGATGAAAAGTGGCCCGAATTTATGTGACTTTGAGAAGAAATGTGAGTGAGTAGGATGTGTTCTGAGGCAGGTGTCGCTGAGCATCAAGAATACGGACCGTGTGGCTGCAGGGTCTGCGGGGCTCCTGTCTGACTCGGCTGGAGAGAGAGGCCGTGGGCAGCGGGGCGTTCCTCCCTTCCTGAGTGGGGCTCAGGGTGGCTTAGATGGCCTGTGTCCCCAGCAGTGTCTCCTCACTGTCACTTGAGCCATCGCGCAGCAGGTGTCTGGCGGCCTGGCTCTGTGCGGGCAGGAAGCCTCGTTAATAATGGAGTCAGGGCGGGTCTGCTCTCCCGCAGAAGCAGGTCCTCAGAGGGCGGGCCTGTGCCGAGGGGGATGTGACAGCTGTCAGTTTATCATTTGAATATTTGCATACGTCACATGTGAAAAGGAGGCAGTGGGCTCTTCCTTATCCAGAAAACTGTACAGAGGTTGTTTGTCAGTTTCAGAGCTCTCCACAGGTCGTCAGGATGCTGTTAGCTCCGTGACCTGGCTTTAAGAGCCCCATTCTTCTTGCAGAACGCAGGATGCTCCCGGGCCTGAGCTGGTGCTGCCTGCAAGCATTGAGTTCAGGGAGAGCTGTGAGTATGCACATTCCACTGGTAGTGAACTTTTCTTGTCCATTTTTCTCCATCTGATATTCATGTTTTCTTTCTTTTGTTCTTCTTTTGGGAAACTTCACAGCTGAAGATTCATTTTTATCTGCTATTATAAATTATACGAATAGCTCTACAGTCCACTTTAAGTTGTCTCCTACGTACGTGCTCTACATGGCCTGCCGGTACGTATTGTCGAGCCAGTACAGACCGGAAGTCAGTCCCCCCGAGCGCACCCACAAGGTGATCGCCATCGTCAACAAGATGGTGAGCATGATGGACGGCGTGATCCAGGTAAGCCCGCGCGGCCAGCTGTAAACCAGGGAGGGCCAGTTCCTTGATGCTTCAGACTTGGCTTCATATTTGACTTTATCTTAAGAATTTTTCCTAAAATAAAAGTTACATATATTATATTGAAACTGCGTAGCTTTAAAAGTTGAAAAGAAATGTAAAGTCTTTTCTATTTCTTCCCCACAAACTGGAGAATAAGGGAAGGTAAATTGTACATGGTCACATGATTATCATGAAGAAGACCCTTAAGATTACAATAGTAGTTGTGAGAAAGTATTGCGACTTGATATGGGTTTCTTAGAATTAAAAATAATGATAATGTATTGAGATGAAATTCATGAACCATTTTAAAGTGAAAATTCAGTAGTATTTAGCACGTTCGCAGCGCTGTGAGCCACCAGCTCTGCCTGGTCTCAAACATTCCCCTCACTCCAGCCCAGCCCCCTGAGCGGGTCTCGTTTCCCTTCCTTCGGCCCCAGCAACCCACCTGCGAGTCTTTACTGCTGTAAGGGGCCCTCGCTCTTGCCGAGCCTCCATGAGGCTGTGGTGAGTGTCCAGGAGTGTCCATTTTTCAAACTTGTGGGCATAGTGGCAGCCTGGCCTTTCTCACCGGGACATGAGCCGCAGGCGCTGCTCTGAGTCAGCTCTGACCGGGGCAGGAAGCAAGGTGTCCTCTTGGTGGGATGGTGCGCTCTCAGCAGAGGAGATGGGCACCGTAAATGGATAGATTTGCAAACGTGTCTGAGTCGCGTGGCAGTGCTGGTACTCGGCTCTAGAGCACAGGTGTGTCCCGTTCAGTAGCCTCCCAGATGGCTAGGTTGTCTGTCTCCTGTCGGGAAGGTTTGAGGCAAACTCATCTTTTTTTTTTTTTTTAATACATTTTTTATTGATTTCAGGGAGAAAGGGAGAAAGAGAGAGAGAGAAATATCAATGATGAGAGAAAATCATGGCTTGACTGCCTCCTGCATGCCCCCCACTGGGGATCGAGCCTGCAACCCAGCCTGTGCCCTGACCGGGAATCAAAGACAAGACCCTTCCATCTGTAGGCCGATGCTCTATCCATTGGGCCATACCAGCTAGAGCTAAACTCACCTTTAATTCCCTCAGAGGCCCATGTTTTAAGAGACATGTTGTTTCTTTATGTTTGAGTGGTTGGCATATGAATCGGATGGGGCTCTTCCTTTATCCAAGTGAAGACAGAGATTCCACAGGAAAGTCAGTTTATTGGGACACCGTTTGGTCACTCCTGTTATTTTATAGACAAATGCGATTTCCTGTCCAGCTGTCCCTCACAGCCATTGTCTGTCTCCCATCACGTTTGGGTTTGTAAATACTGTTTCAAGTTATGAGATTCTTGCCATCATGACTTTGACAGACTTTTCCTTATTGAGTTTGAACTTCACTGGGATCACCAGGATTGAAACCTGTCTTTTAATTTCAGATTCAGGTTTAGTGTATGATTGGAGGAGTCTTTTTAAAAATACATATATTTTATTGATTTTTGCAGAGAAGAAGGGAGAGGGATAGAGAGTTAGAAACATCGATGAGAGAGAAACATCAATCAGCTGCCTCCAGCACACCCCCTACTGGGGATGTGCCTGCAACCAAGGTACATGCCCTTGACCAGAATCGAACCTGGGACCTTTCAGTCCGCAGGCCGATGCTCTATCCACTGAGCCAAACCGGTTAGGGCTGGAGGAGTCTTAATGTTGTAGAAACAAACTGTGGTAGTGAATAATTTAAAATTTTTAATTTGTAAAAACCCAAGTTCAAAAACCAGTTTACTCACTTTTTAGATTTAAGTTTTTATATGTTTTCAGATTCTCAAGTTTTTCAGCATTTATATGTATTGTTTCCGTTGGTCTTTCCTGTCTCTCTTATTCTTCCTCAGTAACGGGAACAGGCTCCTCACAGACAGACCTTTAGCCCCAGCGCACGGTGTCACTAAGACACCAGATCAGTGTGTGTCGTGTGCTCACTGTCACTTCTTTACCGATCACCTCGGGGAGTTCACGTCGTGTCACTAGCCAGTGTCAGGAGCACAGACTCCTCTGTGCCTCGTCCCTCGGAGCTGTGTCAGGGCGGGGCTGGATAGGTCACCCGGGAAGAACAACTCAGTGTCCTGCCTTCGTTTTAGTGTTTTGATTTTTTTAAACTATCATGATTGTTTACGAGTTTCTTTCTCTTGTTCTGCTTGATCCCCCTCGTCTGTTTTTCTCCAGGAAGTAGACCAGGTTGAACAGGTAGGACCTACTGTGGGACTGAGCCTGGCTCTGTTGGCTTAGCTGAGTTTCTCATGCTGCTTCCATGTCAACACAGTGCTCAGACCGGACCGAGCGTCCATAACACTCATCCGGCAGCTGAAACACGCAGTACTAAACCCTTTGGACTGTGCAGCCCTTACCAGCATTTCATAACTTCTGCTTAATGCACTTCCGTGTGGATATGAAATGACAACAGTTCTGTTTCTTCTCCTCGTTCATCCTTGGTTCCTATCCTTTGGATCTCATCTGAGGTTGCCTGGCCTGCACATGTGGTCGGGAGAGGATGCGATAGATCAGTACTTGATACTGGGTTGCTTGGCGTCCAAGCCAGTGACTGCGAGTATCCGGGTGGCTGTGGGTAACCATGGATACGTGTGTACGCGCAGATTACCAGATAATGCACAACCTCTGATTCGGTGCTGGATTCCTCGAAATCCCATTTCTCCATTGATTCATAAATGGTAGCCAATTAGAGCCCTGTGTCTCCGTGAGCCCAGGAAGTGCGGTGGCTATTGATTTCCCACTGCTGTGCGTGGGCCCAAATTCCCCGGCAAGTATCTGGTATCTGTGGCAAGTGCGCTGGTGGAACGGGAAGGTACTGGTCTATCCTCGGCAGCTTTCAGGAGCAGCTGGTGGTTGTTGTTTCGGTTGGTCCTGTGGCGGCTCACGGGATGCGTTCTGCCCCCAGAAACAGAAGAACATCGCAGGGGCGCTTGCTTTCTGGATGGCCAACGCGTCCGAGCTCCTCAACTTCATCAAGCAGGACCGAGACCTGAGCCGGATCACCCTGGACGCCCAGGACGTGCTGGCGCACCTGGTGCAGATGGCCTTTAAGTACGGGACCCGTGTGGGGAGGAGACACTGTTCTAGAAAGATTTAAATCATATTATGTTTCCTTAAATTTTCAAAACTAACTTTAAAGGTTTTTATTTGCCCTGTTTGAATAATATCAAGAAGCATAAATAACTATGCAAAATGTGTTGACTTGATAAATTGAATCGGTGAGCTGTGTTTCTTGAATCCTGAGAGTGAAGCTATTACATTTTTTAATGAAATCTTTCTGAGCAGTGCAGGCTGTTCCGCGTGTGCCGTGTCTGACAGCAGCTCCTCACGCTGACATCATGAAAACTGTGCGTGTTTTCAGGTACCTGGTCCACTGTCTGCAGTCAGAACTGAATAACTACATGCCGGCCTTTCTGGACGACCCGGAGGAGAACAGTCTGCAAAGGCCCAAAATAGGTCAGGACAGTCATTCCTCCGTCCCTCCCTCCCTCCCTCTTGTTTAACTTCATTTTAATATTTCATATTTGTAAGAGGGAGGTATTTTGAAAATAAACAAGCTATCAGATTGGGCATTCTTGTTACAGCAGTGAGTTTTACTAGCAATACCACCAGCGGTGAGGTTTGTTTAAGCAGAGCTCTTACTTGGGTGTTTCATGCTGGTTGTCCTTTTCAGAAAGTCTCAGGGTGAACCTCAACGTTAAGTAAGTACAGTTGATGCCTCCGTGTGTTTAAAACACATTCTCCTTCCTATTGAACGAGCGGCATTTTCAAAGTGCCCTGGCAGGTATTGCTGGGACTTTTGACTAAATTTACTGCCAATTCAGACCCCGAGTGACCGGGCCCCGCTGTCTCCGCAGACGACGTCCTGCACACGCTCTCGGGGGCCATGGCGCTGCTGCGGCGCTGCCGGGCCAACGCCGCCCTCACCATCCAGCTCTTCTCCCAGCTCTTCCACTTCATCAACATGTGGCTGTTCAACAGGCTGGTCACCGACCCCGAGTCGGGGCTGTGCTCGCACTACTGGGGCGCCATCATCCGCCAGCAGCTGGGCCACGTGGAGGCCTGGGCGGAGAAGCAGGGCCTGGAGCTGGCCGCCGACTGCCACCTCAGCAGAATCGTGCAGGTGGGTGCCACTCCCGCCCGCCGTGACGAGCTTGTCGCCAATGTCTCTATTCCATCCTGGGTGACAGTGCGGACTCGGCAGAACTCCGCCTCCCGCTGAGGTTTCACGGGTACAGAACCCGAGACCCCGGGGTGTCGTTTCCCTGGGCCACGAACAAAGTACCGTGCGCTGGGGCCTCACACGGCAGAGGTCAGGGTGAGACGGGGCTGCATCCTCCGGGGCTGGAGGGTGGATCTGCCTCAGCCTCTCCTAGCTCTGGGGGTTCGCTGGCATCTTTGGGGTCCTGGGCTGGTAGAGCACCCCTTGATCTGTCTTTCTCTCCACGGGGCATTCCCCTTGTGCGCATGTCTGTGTGCAGATGCCCCCTTCCCAAGGACAGCAGTCAGAGGAGGTACGACCTCATTTCCCCGTGATGGTTCCACCAAGACCCCGCGCCCAGGCCTCTTTCTGAGGTGCCCGGGGTTAGGACCTCAACATGGGGCTTGGGAAATACACTTCCGCCCATAGCAGATGGGAGCCAGCCGGTAACTGTCCTTCAAGGGTCTGTTCTTGAGTTGAGCGAGGCATGTTTATTTTATAGCTCCTTACTGAGAGGAATTGCTATTTAATAACGGACAGTAATTAACTCCCAAGAAACAAAACCAGGAAACACAAAGCAGACACCTGCTTGTAGTCGATGCCCAAAGGTGGAGGGAAAGGAATGGGAGCATAACTACAGTCGTAGATGCACAGAGGGGAGGGGAGGGGCCGGAGCCACCCCTCCGGGAAGTCAGGAGGCCACGGGGAGGGAACTGAGGCCCTCACCCCGCGTGTCCTCGCGCCGTGCGGCCCGGAGCTCGAGGGGTTGAGGCGAGAGCCGCTGGTGGGCAGCTAGGGAAGTGAGGGAAGCCAGAACGCGGGCAGTGGCTCTGTTACTGCAGCGAGTCGTGTGTATTTATCTTCTCAGCTTCCTCTGTTCTGAGGAGGTGCGTGTGGACAGAGGCTCTGCCTCCTGCTCTGGGGCGCTGAGCCATCTCAGTGAGTGTCTCTCGGACCCAGCAACAGCCGTCCGAGTGGTCACGGACGGGGTTCAGTTCCTAAGAGAACGTTTAGATGCTCTGTGAGCAGAACAAGTGGGATTCATCGTGCGCTTGTTTCCGTGACGTGAGGCCCTCTGCGGCCGCCTTTCCCTTCGGTTTATGGGCCCAGTCAGCGATGGGAAACCGTGTCCCAGAACCAGCCAGCAGCTGCCGCACTGTGCCTTACATGCAGGGACTGCACCGCCCACGTCACAGCGTCCGATTCTCTCCAACAGGCCACCACCTTGCTGACAATGGATAAGTACGCGCCCGAAGACATTCCCAACATAAGCAGCACCTGCTTCAAGTTGAACTCACTGCAGCTGCAAGCCTTGCTGCAGAATTACCACTGCGCACCCGACGAGCCCTTCATCCCCACGGTGAGGGCAGCGCCGGCGTCTGTGGGGGGGGGCAGCGGGGGGTGGAAGCAAAGGAAAACTCATTTAACGGTTTCCTTTCACTTTAAAAACAAGCTTATTTACTTGACCAATCTACACGATCATGTTTGCTGTTGACGTATGAGTTCGGGTTCCGTGCAAGAAGTAGAAACTACATAAGCATTTAAAGTAGAAAGGGTTTTAACTCGGTACTTCGTAAATCACTGGGAGACCAGCAGGGGGCGTGCAGAGCACCTGACTGCTGAATCCCACTTCTCGTTGGAAACACCTGGAGGCAGGCATGCCTGCTGCTCATCTCTGGCCAGTGTCTGCCAAGCTGGCTGTGTGTAACGTGGGACGTCTGCAGGTGCCTGAGAGTTAGAGAGATGAGGTCATTGCATGAGACACCCATCTCCCGACCTGCAGTGCTGAGTTCATGCCTGCAGAGGGCGGCCTCAAGAACAGCCCAGACAGCTTCCCAGCCATCCGCGACCGACGCCCTGTGCATCGGTATCCTTAGGGGAATACAGCTCCGAGCGAGAAAGAAGGAGTTAGAGCAGTGGTCGGCAAACTCATTAGTCAACAGAGCCAAATATCAACAGTACAACGATTGACATTTCTTTTGAGAGCCAGATTTTTAAAACTTAAACTATATAGGTAGGTACATTGTTATTTACTTAATTAGGGTACTCCTAAGGCTTAGGAAGAGCCACACTCAAGGAGCCAAAGAGCCGAGTGTGGCTCGCAAGCCGCAGTTTGCCAACCACGGAGATAGAGCCCAGGCAGCCTGGATGGATGCCAGGACGTAATTGGTACAGGAGTCAGATACAGGTATAAGCTGTGCTCCGACCGTCCGATTCGAGAACGGAGGAGGCTCTGGAGTTGGAAGCCTGGGTCGCAGTGCCTGGAGGAGGCACAAGGGCCGCGGCGTTGAGCCATGTGCTCACTTCCTGTGCTGTGGCCTTTCCCGTGTGCACAACCTGTGTCCATGAAACTTGTCGAACAAAGTCACTTACACCCGTAATTCAGAAAGAACGTCTGTAGCCTGGACATGGGTGTTTTATCTGGAGTTTTTCATTTCACTTTGAGTGAGCTCTTGCCCGTGTCGTTCAGCATTCTACAGAAATAGGGCTGTTCGCACTGGGTGCTGAAGAATTGTGCAAGGAAAAGAGGCAAAGCCCATCTTCTTGTGATTGAACAGTTTCTTCTCATTGAAGCTGCACATTATTTGAGATTAGTAATTAGTATCTTGGTTCACTTACTTACGTGTGTGCTTTGCTGGTGTCCTGCTGCGTCGCAGGCTGATTCTGAACCTGTCGTCACGTCCCCCCACGCGGCCTAAACAGACGCGAGGTGATTGCTGCTCAGCTGCTCCAGTCACGTAGCATGTCGTTTGAATTTGCGTTTCTCTGCCCAGGACCTGATTGAGAACGTCGTGGCTGTGGCCGAGAACACGGCCGACGAGCTGGCGCGCAGCGACGGGCGGGAGGTGCAGCTGGAGGAGGACCCCGACCTGCAGCTGCCCTTCCTGCTGCCTGAGGACGGCTACTCGTGCGACGTCGTCAGGAACCTTCCCAGCGGCCTGCAGGAGTTCCTGGACCCCCTGTGCCAGCGGGGTAGGTATTGCTGCCGAGCCTGAAATCTGACCCGGCTCCAGTCTGTGTTCTACGTGCAGTCCACTCGTGTGGCGCTTCCGACGAAGGCACTGCTCCGGGGACTCGGAGGGAAGTGTTTCCCAGTGACACGGGGTCACGGATGTGCAGACACAGTTCCGTGGGGGGTCTGCACCCCTCCTGTGACCACTGGCTGCTCGCTGGGCGGCACGAGGGCCTTTCCTTCTGTTCCCGGTGTGGACGGGCGGGTGCTGGACATGGCCTCGGAGCAGACGTGGACAGCACAGGCTTCGGAACAGACGCCCGAGTCCTGGTCCCAGCCCTTCTCCAGTCTCTCTTGTGGAGTGGGTGTGGGGACAGTGCCCACCTCGTGGGACTGTAGCGAGGAGCCCTGGGAACTGGGGCCCACGGGTCTCTAAGTGCCGGTGGCTGCCCTGCCACCAGTGCCACGCTCACACGTGTCTGTGCTGAGTGAGGCCTGGCTCCGCTGTCTCTCAGTGCAGCTCAGCTCCCCCGGGTCACTACGTCTTTCACGTGTTCTCCTACATGTGTGGGTGCAAGGGCTCGGTGATACCGGAGGCGGGAGCTGGTCCTTAGATAGGCTTGGCCCCTGGCTGCTGCTCTTCCGTCGCGTGGAGCTCAGACGAGTACAAAGCAGACCAAACTGCAGGGTCCAAGCAAAAGGAATAGGAGAGTCGGGTCTGTGTCCACAGGAGCTTACGTTCGGTGAGTGTAGGGTTTGACTTCAGTGACTGCTGCTTTCACCACTGAGTTTTACGTCCTCAGAGATCTTGACAGTTTAAAACGTTGGCCAAGGCTGCCTCTAGTAATGCCAGTGAGTGTGGCTGTGGCCCTCCAGGCGTGCGGGGGCTGGCGTGTGGCCTGTGGAGGGAGGAGAGGCCCAGGCCCCGGTGCTCCTCAGAGAAAGTCGGGCAGTGGGAGTGCCGAGTGGCGCCTGCAGGAGGGCCCTGAGCTGGGCTGGCACCGGGTGTGTGGGAGGTGGACCGTGTCCCGCTCTGCTGCACCACGCCTCGCGTCGGAACCACACCCTCACCCCTTCCCACACAGCAGACACAGGTGTGATGGTGGCAGCAGCCCAGGCCGGGCTTCTTGCCCGGTTCTCCCATCCCTCCTGCCTCCACACTTCACATCTGGCTGGTCTCTGTCTCTCCCGTCCCCTGTCCGCCTGGAGTCCCGGACTGCTGTGCATGCAGCACCTCCCGCAGCTCACCTCCCTCCCACAGCGGTCCTCCCTCCCCCGTGCGCGTGCAAAGGTGCAGACAGGAAAACGGATGTGGTCGCTAGATGCCCTGAGGGTGCCTTTCCGTCCTGCCATTGCTTCCCTTGCCCCCAGGCTTCTGCAGGCTGGTCCCTCATGCACGCTCCCCGGGCACCTGGACGATCCACTTCGAGGGCGCTGACTATGAGAGCCACCTTCTGCGCGAGAACACGGAACTGGCAAGTCCCGCGGCTGAGGTGGGCGGGGAAGGACGCGGGCCTGGCGCTTGGAGAAGGGCTGTGGGTTCCTTCCTTGCCTACAGGGAACATGGTTGTGACAGGAAGATCTTAAAGTCACCTTTAAATACCAATTTTATTTAAAAATCTTAAGATTTAAACCCACGACTTATATGTAAAGTTTTTATTTCAGGCCATGTCTGTAAACAAATGGTGCTTTTTTAAAAATAAAGAATATTTTTATACCCACAGCTGTAATTGATTGGGATAACATTGGTCAACGTGAACATACAGGTTTCAGCTGTGGTTTTCTATGTGACAAGATCTGTATATTGCACCGTGTGCCCACCACCCAAAGTCAAATTAAAATAAACCTTTGTTTCATCCTTTAGGCTCAGCCTCTGAGGAAGGAGCCCGAAATCATCACTGTGACCCTGAAAAAGCAAAATGGAATGGGCCTCAGCATTGTCGCGGCAAAGGTAGGGCGGGCAGGCGGCCTGAGGGTGGAGGGTGAAGCAGATGGCGTGGGGGTGCTGCGCCCTGTGCTGGAGCCTCTGTGCTCGGAGCCAGCCAGCTGAGGGGTGGTCTCCCCTCGGAAAGTGGAGCGAGAGCGCATGTGCCTGGAGGTCGGGCCGGGTCTGGGTGCAGGGCCTAGGGGACCGCCCTCTCCTCCTGGCCGCGTGCTGCTGACGGGCCTCCCGTGGAGGGCGATGTGCGGGAGGCGGTGTTTCCGCAGCCCTGGGGTCTGAGTGAACAGGACTGGGCTGTGATGAGCCAGGACAGAGGCGTGCTGCGTGCCTGTGGGGCCGGAGCCTGCACTGCAGGGGAGCCGAGGAAGGAGAGCCGTGCTTCGTTCGAGTGACGGACGGGCTGAGGAGCGCGCACTTGGTCTCGTGGGCGCCGCAGAAAAGCGGGGCGTCTGGAAGAAGAGGGGAGGGACGCGATGAAGCGGACGTGTCGGGCGCCGTGTCTGGGAGCGCTGGGTGTAGGATGAATGAGAGGCACCTGGACTGAGTGGCCTTCGGGTTGGAATCAGCTGGGAGCTGCCATCTGGGGCGAAGTGGATTGGTCTGATGCACTGAGTCACGGGGTCCCCCAGGGGGGGCAGAGGGTGGCCACTGTCCCAGCTCAGGCTAGACCTGCTTCCTCCTCCTGGCGGGCCTGCCACGCATAGTCCCGGGCCGCGGGGGTGTAATGGACCACAGCTCAGACGTGGATGGAACGGTCTCAGCCAAAGACTGTTTGGCTCTTTGCTTAACAGCTGAATCAAATGCCCCTTTGAAAGGGAAAAATGACCGGGGTAACAAATCCCCACCACCCTCCGATGCACAGGAAGAGCTCCAGCTCCATGTTTCCTGGCATCTATGTTACAAGCTTTTATTTCAAATACTCGCCTACCTGACGTTTGAAATTCCAGGAGCGATTTGGAGGCTGCCATTTACCACCATCCCTATCATTTCCAGCTCAAAAACCCTTTTTCAGTAGGAAACGCACATTCCCGTCTGATGTAGGCACTCGGCTCCGAGCCTCTTCTGTGCCCCGTGTCCAAGGCAGGAAGCACGGGCATTGCCTGCCAGTAGCCCCCTTGGGCACTCCTGCCCCTCCTCTCGCTGGCTCTGCCTGTCCCGCTGGCTGCAGCATCAGTGGGCAGTTAGGACAAGGCGCCCGCTCAGAGTCACAGTCGGGTTAGTCACCGTGACGGCAGGCAAGGAGTAGCAGGGGGTCCACGGCCGCCGGAGGGTTCGCCTTCCGCATGGGCAGGGAGGTAGTGCCAGGGTGAGGCAGTGGGTGCAGCGTCCCAAGGGAGGCCCTCTCGGACGTCTGCATGGAGCCCTGACCCAGGAATGCAGGTCTGAGGACCAGCCAGCATCACTGGCCCGGGGCGCAGGCCGAGTCCACACCAGCTGTGCCAGCTGTGCCGTCTGCATGGGAGGGCAGCTTAGCCCTCACCAAACCCAAGCTGAGGGAACTGGCTCCGCCCATTTGCCCACCTGCCTGGCTGTTGGCCACACACCTGTTCCTGCACCTGGCCGCCTCTCCCCCAGCCCTGCCGCCTGCTCCCCTCCACGCGCCTGAAGCTCCTAAGCTGCTGCGCGGCCTTCACATTTCATTCCCACCAGGAAGCGTGGCGGGAAGGGCGGTCTCCCCGTGAGTCAAGGGAACGTCATTCTGTTGTGAGAACAGGCGGCTCTGGAATCCTTGCTGCTTTCCGCTCGCCTCGTACCTTTTGGGTACACGGGTGGGCCTCGGTGTGGGTAGTCTTACGACGAGGTCCCCTGGGACCTGTGCTGATATTGGGCACATGTACTGTGAACGCAGTAGCCACTTGCTGCAGTGATGTCTGTTCCAGAAGCGAACATCGAGTGTCTGTCGTGTGGAAGTCGAGTCCCATTCTGGCGCCTGCACCTGGGCGTGTGGAAGTGGTTCTCACTGAGGCGGCGCCGCCCACGCCGGCAAGAGAGTCTGGAGCTCAGTTTGGACGTGTTCGCTTGAGATTTGGGGTGCCTGTCAGGCTAGACGAGGAGCATGTTATCTAGTAGAGTTAGACGTGTGGCTTGGCACTCGGAAGGTGAGAGCCAAAGGTGGGGGCGGCTCCTAGAGGCTGTGGAGGGAATCGCTCAGGACGCCTGGGCGGCCCTGCCTGGGGAGCTCGGAGCCCTGGGCGAAGG